GGTCGAAGAGGCGGGGATGGAGCCAGTAAAGGTGAGTATAGGTGGGGAGTAGCACTGATTCCTGTAGAATCCCACTGGTCACCAACCTGAAAAAGAACCCCTCACATTAGATTGTATTGTCATGTGTACTTCACAATAGGAGTACATGCATACAGTGAAAAGTCTACAGTCGCCATTCTTCAGCATCATCTTGAGGAGCCACGTTCTTGCTGACACTATAGCCTCCGATGACTAGGTGAGCTTTGCTGACACTGCCAATGCTGCCGCCATCCCTGAGCGCTGGAAGAGTTGCGTCCTTTCTGGCGCTGCTGCTGCCACCTCCAGTCACTGGAAGGAGTTGTGCCCACTGCCACCTCCAACTGCAGGAAGGCTGCCGCCATTCCACGCATGCCTCACTCTTGCAGTCATTCTGATGCCGCCAATTCACCCACTGCAAAAGGCTTTTTTTAAAAAAAAAAAGAAAAATAAAGGAAAACAGAACAGGAAAAGAGCTAAAGCAAAAACGAAAAAATGAAGAAAACAGATGGGAGTGGACGAGTCTTTGCTCAAGAGCCTGCACGCAGCCCCGCTACTCTGCCGCTATCTTAAAAGATGTTAGTTAAGAAATTAGTTGTTCATTTGATTTCTTTAAAAATTCTTACAGGTCTTTTCATTTGTAATCTCTAAATATATCTCCTATTTGTCTTCAATCTGAAATTAATCTACAATATGTAGTAATATTAACAGCTATTGCCAACTAATGAACTTGTAGTTTTCCTGTGATGTCAGTCTGTGCTTTGTGATGCCTCCACCCCATACCGATCCTGATTTTCAATTTATCCAGTTTAAAAATATCTTACAAATTATGAGCCAAAAAAGTAAACAAAAAGCACCTCTTTCCCTTTTTCACAAAATTCCCATGTTGCTCCAAAATCCCAAAATATATACTCACCCGGGCACTGCCTCCTTCCGGATGTGTGCTCTCCTCCTCGACTGTATGATGCCTACTGATCCTAATCCCCAAACGTATGCTGTCTCTGGTCACTCTCTGAGGTTGAATGAGACCATTCACGACCTTGTTCTGTTTGACTCTGAAAGGAGCTTCTGACTTCATGAGCTGAATATTACTCGCCTCCTCTGGGTGTTTTGTGTAGGTGTATCCTGTAATATAGGTAGGCTGCTTAGCTCACTGCCTTCCCACCCAAGCTTACTACCATAATACGGAGGATGCCAGATACCAAATCAGCAGCAAAATATGCAATTAAATAATTAAGGGTCATTGGAGGGTGCCCCCTGCCCATCTAGGGCATCTCCTAAAAAGAAAGTCACCTTGCCATCTGCATATGTGTTAAATCCCAACACCCTAAAACCACTCCCTGTGTTCTGGAAGAAAAATGCAGCCCAAAGTCCCTGGACCTAATTAGATCCAGGAATCGTGAAGGACCCTGCCTTGGTGTTGCAAGGACAGTTGGAGTTGCCAGCAGTGTCAACAGTGGGATAGTCTGCTTACTGGCTTGCATTGTCTCCATGTCTAGTGATGCCTTAATTTTTAAATTAACACTCTTGGCCTTGTCCTTCCTTTCTCCAACAACCTCCTGCAGTGCCACCATTCTTCAGGATCTCTGAGATAGAATCTGGAGATTCTGAGTTTGTAACTTTTGAAGTAGGCCCTAACTGATATCAGAACCTGACCCCCTCAGTTTATAATGGAATCAAAACTAAAACTGAGGTGTTTAACCAGAATTTGAGTAAACTAAAATCGGTTTAGGTTGCATGAAGGCATGTGGAGCCATCCAAGTTCTTTAGTAGCAGTTTGAGTCCATTGGTATATGACGGGCAAGTCTGAAGCAAATAGCATCTTGATCCAGCAGCTGTTTCTGGTACTTGATGATAATATTGGTTATTTAAACCATCCAGACCAAGTTGAGGGGGTTCTGTAGATGCATTCCATTTTTGATGAAGACTGTGCTTGTGGAAGGGTTGGTCTTGTGCTGCTTTTGGCTAATTCTGAAAAGAGGAGCTGTACGCTTTTGAGACAAGAGTTGTAAAGGATTTTATGACTGAATTTCTTGCCTATGTATGGTGTGGACTAATGAGGCAATTTGTAAGATGTGGCTTAATTATCTGCCATTTAGTGTGAAATTTATAGTATATAATCAGTTGCAATTTGTGTGTTAATTCCTGTTTAAAGCAAGGTGATCCTGTATGTCAGGGAGTTATTTAAAAAGTATTGGTGTTTGCTTTGAGTTTTGTATAGTAAGAATTATTGTTTCAAATTGCAGAATCTTGTGATTTATTCTTTCAGTAAATAACTGTTATTTTGGATCTCATGATTTTTATATAAATTAGTTAGGGGTCTCTACTGAGACTGTATTACCCCTCCTGTGTTTCTTCACTTCTGGCCCTTTGTGTATCCCCAATTTTAATTGCCCCACCAGTGATGACTGTGTACTCGGCTACCTGGGACCTAAGCTCTAGTATTCCCACAATTAACTTATCCATTTCTCTGCTTCTCCGTCTTCCTTAAAACCTACTTCCTTTAATGATGTTTTTGGTCACCTGTCCTACTATTACTTAAAATGGTTACAACACAGAAGGAAGCCATTCTTCTCATTGTTTCCATGTTAGCCCTTTGCAAGAGCAACTCAGCTGTATTTATGCAGCAATAGAACATAGAACAGTACAGCACAGGAACAGGCTCTTCACTCCACAATGTTGTGCCAAATATGACGCCAAATTAAACTAAACCTTTCTGCCTGCCCTTGGTCCATATCCCTGCATTCCTTGCATATTCAATTATATTATCAATTGTGACAGGCAAAAGAAAGCCCACATTCTGAAGAGAAGCCACAGGTTTACGTGAGATTGGGCGGAGGAGGCGGAGTTTGAAGCATACTTCTGCTTCTGCAACTGGCTGTCAAAAAGTGCTGTAAAAAGCACTTGCTATCTGCTAGCTCGATTTCACTTTGATATTTCAAGCTCAAGGAAATGGAGACAGATGCGGTTGAATTTAAATTGAGCTTTTTTTTCTACCTTGTTAACCACGTTTACTTAAGTTGGCATTTTTAAAAATATGTTTGTGCCATTTTGTATTGCTCCTGATTTTCCTCATTGTATTAGGTTCCAAAAATCAGAAGTAAACTATTTTGTTTTAGCTTCAGGTATCAATTTTATCCAGCTGCCAGATTTTCACTCTCTTCAATTGATAATTTTGTTTCTTGATATTTTTCTGTCAGCAATTAATGGTTTTGACTCATATTAGAATCACAGAATGACAGCACAGCAGGATACCATTCAGCCTGTGCCAGCTTTGGTGAAGTAAACAAATGGCCCCACCCTGGTTTCTTCTCTAGAGATATGTAATTGTTTTTTCATAATTTGTTATTCCTATCCTTTTTGAAAGTTGCCATTTGAATGAACTTGCACCAGTCTTTCAGGCAGCATCTTTTGGATCACAACAAACTTGCTGTATTTTTTTTTCATTTAAAAATGTCCTTATTTTGTTTCTGGTGTTCTGCAATTTACCTTAATCCTTCAGTTATTGACCCTTCCGGAAACTGTTTCTCCTTACTTCCACTCAAAATAGTTGCAATCTTAGATACTTCAATGAAATGTCCTCTTGATCTTCTCTGCTCTAAGGCGACCAAGACAGCTTCTGCAGTGTCTCCATGTAACTGAAGTTCTTTATCCCTGCTACAATCCTAGTAAATTTCTCCTGCACCCTCTCCAAATCCTTTGATATTCTTCCTGAATTATGGTGCGCAGAACTGAACTCAGTAGTCTAACTGAGATCTAGCCAGTGTTTCATGAATGTTTAGGACAATTTGATCATGATTTTCCCTTTATCCAGGCCACATTACTGTTGGACAAGAGGATAGAAGTTATGCAAGGGAATGGTAAACATCCCATACAAATGTTGGTGGAATAAACGATTGTGAAAACACTAATTTAAAAATAAAATGGATGAGATGCATCTAAAATTGAGAGGTAGCTCAATGAGAACTATAAAACACTTCAGATTGAAGGAAAAATTGAAGATTGAATAAAGTAAGAAATTGTCGTTTTGAAAGAATAAGTTTGAATTTTGGAATACTGTGTTCAATTCTGGCCTCCCTGCTGAGGGAAATATGTTGTGAAACTTGAAAGGGTTCAAAAAAAGATTTACAAGGATATTGCCAGGGTTGGAGGGTGTGAACAATCGGGAAAGCTGAAGAGGCTGGGGCTATTTTCTCTGGAGTGTCAGAGGATGAGGGGTGACCTTATAGAAGTTTATAAAATCAGAAGGGACATGGATAGGGTGAATAGGGTGGGGGAGTCCAAAACTAAAGGGCATAGCTTTAAGGTAAGAGGAAAAAGATTTAAAAGGGACATAAGGGACAACTTTTTCATGCAGAGGGTGGTGCATGTATGGAATAAACTGCCAGAGGAAGTGGTGGAGGCTGGTACAATTACAACATTTAAAAGGCATCTGGATGGGTATATGAGTAGGAAGAGTTTGGAGGGATATGGGCCAAATGCTGGCAAATGTGACTAGATTAATTTAGGATATCTGGTCAGCATGGACAAGTTGGATCAATGAGTCTCTTCTGTGCTGTACATCTCTATGACTCCAAGTCTTTATTTTAACATAAAATGAATGCGTGGTTTAGTAGAGCGTGTAAACAAAAATCTTTGAAGCTTTGGAGAGAAGAGAGTTCAGTGGAAAATAGAAAAAGACTTAAAATATTATGGTGCAGAAGATGGAGATGAGAGAAGAGTTGTCTATGAGATAAACAGGAGTATGGGAGAGGTGCTAGATGAGACTCACCAGTTAGGAGTGCAATATATCAAGAGACATATTTACTTTATAAAGTTGATACTTCCATTGGGGAAGTGTTTTGATTAAATTTGGGAATTTTGATTCCAACAAAAAGCCTTAACATGTAGATTTACAAATGGATTTAAAAATGTGATAAATTTTAAGACCAGAAACTTTTTAAAGCATCATGTGACTATGATCATTTTTATCTGTTTTGTTCCAGCGTGCAGAAGAAAATTTCTTTGTAGATACTACATTACTTGTGCATTTTTTTGGAAGAAAAGGCAAAGCTGAGCTGAATTTTAATGATTTTTATAAGTAAGTCATCAATTGAAAGTCTTCATAAATTTAATTACGCTTGCTAATTTAGTGATTACCCAGCTTTCAGATATTCACCAAGTTAAAAACTGAAAGAACTGTGGATGCTGTAAATCAGGAACAAAAACAAAGTTGCTGGAAAAGCTCAGCAGGTCTGGCAGCATCTGTGAAGAAAAAAATCAGAGTTAATGTTTCGGGTCCAGTGATCCTTCCTCAGTTCTGAGAAAGGGTCATCGGACCCGAAACGTTAACTCTGATGTTTTCTTCATAGATGCTGCCAGACCAGCTGAGCTTTTCCAGCAACTTTGTTTTTGTTACAGATGTTCATGTTATATTTAACATGTTTATAGTTTTTTGATGTTTTAACAGTTTTATTTTTAGATATGAAACGGAGATATAGGATCAGATGAAGGCCATTCAGCCCATCAAGTCTACCACTATTCAGTTAGATCATAGCTGATCCAATAGCCCTCAATTCCACTTTCCTGCCTTTCATCATACCAATTGATTACATTATTGGTCTGCTAATCTCAGCCTTGAATATACTTAAGGATTAATACTATACCCAGCCTATATATAGCTCTGTGGCAAAAGAATTCCTCATATTCACTACCTGCTGAGAGAAGAAATTCCTCCTCATCCTCATCTTAAATGGGTGCCCATGCTCTGAGATTATACCATCTAGTCCTAGAATCTCCCACAAGGGAAAAATCTCTCCACATCTACTTTGTCAAGCCTCCTAAAAATCTTATTTGTTTCAGTAAGATTGCCTCTTGTTCTTATAAACTCCAGTGCAAGGCTAACCTAGTCAAACTCTCCTTATAGAATCCCTCCACAGCTGGGATCAACCTAGTGAACCTACTCTGGACTGCTCCAATGCCAGTATATTTTTTTTCTTGGTTAAGGGGCCTAAATCTGTTCACAGTATCCTAGTTGTCGTCTGACTAGTGCCTTGTGTAGTTTCAGCTAGGTTTCCTTATTTTTATAATCTGAACCCTTTAAAACAAAGGAGTACATTCCATTTGCCTTTCATAATACTCACTGAATTTGGATGCTATCTTTTTGTGATCATGCCACAGGACCTCCATGTCCCTCTGATCTATAGCTTTCTGCTGTCTTTCTCCATTTAAGTAATATTAAGCTCCGCTATTTTTATCTAAAAGTGCAAAATGAAGCCTCAAGAGCTTGGAAAATATCTAATTGTAATCGTGTGAATGTCATTGTTACTAGGAGCGCATTGAAACTGAATGGGAGAAACTTTTGAGAAATAGTTACTTGTTCTTTGCAGTTAGTGGCTAAGCAACTTCCGAATTTCCATATTCTGTGCACTCCAGAAGGGGCTGTCAGTTTCAGTTGAATAATGGCAGCAAATGACTGACAGTTTTGCCATCAAACCGCTGGTAAAACCTTTCCCTTTACTTTGATGTTATCATTGTGGTTAAAGTTGAAGGAGCAAAATGAACTAAAAAGAGTTAATTCTCCCATTAGTAGAACTAGAAACTGTCTTATCAAGATGCAAGAGGCAGGAAATTTAGCTATCATATATGTTACAAGGAAGCTTTGCAATATACAAATTTGATTGATAACAATTGATGCTATTTGTTGCTATTCTTGTAGCAAATTTAAATAGGTAGACTTATTAGCAAGGTTAGATCACATGGAATATAGCGAGAACTAGCCATTTAGATACTGAACTGGCAGAAGGTAGGAGACAGAGGGTGATAGTGGAGGGTTGCTTTTCAGACTGGAGGCCTGTGACCAGCAGTGTGCCACAAGGATCGGTGCTAGGTCCTCTGCTTTTTGTCATTTACATAAAGGATATGGATGTGAACGTAGGACATATTAGTTAGTAAGTTTGCAGATTACACCAAAATTGGTGGTGAAGTGGACAGCCAAGGAGGTTACCTCAGTACAGCAGGATCTTGATCAGATGGGCAGGTTGTACACAATGGTAAGATCCTGGGGAAGGTTGCTGAACAAAGAGACCTTGGCAGATTCATAGTTCCTTGAAAGTAGAGTCATACGTAGATAGGATAGCGAAGAAGGTGTTTGGTATGCTTGTCTTTATTGGTCAGTGCATTGCGTATAAGAGTTGTGAGGTCATGTTGCAGCTGTACAGGACATTTGTTAAGCTGCTTATAGAATACTGCATTCAGTTCTAGTCTCCCTACTCTAGGAAGGACGTCATGAAACTTGAAAGGTTTCAGAAAAGGTTTATGAGGATGTTGCCAGGGTTGGAGGGTGTGAGCTTTAGGGAGAGGCTGAATAGGCTGGGGCTATTTTCCCTAGAGCATCGGAGGCTGAAGGGTGACCTTGTAGAAGTTTACAAAATCACGAGGGACGTGGATAGGGTGAATAGCCAAGGTTTTTTCCCCAGGATAGCAGAGTCCAAAACTAGAGGGTATAGGTTTAAGGTGAGAGGAGAAAGATTTAAAAGGGATCTAAGGGGCAACTTTTTCATGCAGAGGGTGGTGTATGTATGCACTGAGCAGCCAGAGGAAGTGGTGGAGGCTGGTACAATTACAAAATTTAAAAGGCATCTGGATGGGTATATGAATAGGAAGGGTTTAGAGGGATGCTGGCAAATGGGACTAGATTAATTTAGGATATCTGGTCGGCATGGACATGTTGAACCAGGGGTCTGATTCCATGCTGTAAGCTCTATAAATTTGATTTGAGATGACCTGGACTGATAAAGGCATAGAGGCCTGGTAGATGATTTTTAAGAGATCATGTGACAGCAAACATGATTGAACGAAGGTACAAAACCAGCTTATAGAATCATGAAAGTGAATGCACATCAAGAAGGAACTTAGTCCATCTTAGTCTTGAACAATCCAAAATGAATCTAATTGTTGTCTGTGTTGTATCTTCATATTGATATTAACATTGCAGTGTCTCTTCTTGTGCTTCATATATCCTAAAAGATATATTCATGTCTGCCTTTGGCAAAACTGTCCTCCATATAGAGAACTTTAACCAACCTTCCTTACAGAATTTATATAGGTGCAGGTAAGAAATAACAAGGAAGGAAGACACTAGTAGGAGTGGTCCTTAGGGCCCCTAACATTTTCTTGCTAAATGTCCTCCTGTAACTGATTTGAGCCTTAAAAAGTAGTTTTCAAAATTACCTCAATAAAATCTTTCATAATTTTGGAAGACAGAGATAACTGCACAAAGGCTGGTAACCCGTCACCAAGTCACCGTTTATTTGCTTGTGCAGTGTACGCTTACTGTGGCCAGCCAGCTTGGAGTCAGTCCTCTGAACTGAAGGAATTCTAATCTCCTGATTATATTGGTCAGCCAGGACTTTCTTAATTGGGGTTGTTAATCTGGGACAATCAACAATCTTGTAATCAACAAGGTCAAACTGGTTCCAATTACTACATCCATCTTTGGCCTGTAGCTTTTCCTGCGACATTTTTGTCCCAAGTCCAGTTCTTCTGATTCAGACTCTGACACAGGCGGCATGTACTGGACTGTAGCCTGCTTCTTGTGTTCAGAACAACTTGGAAGAGTTTTCTCCTCTTCTCCCAGCCTTAACGGTATCAAAGCTGCACCCATCTTGGACTCTGAAGTTTGTCCGACACTAGACAGAAGGGGGAAAGCCTATGGTTTTCTGGCTGTTCTGAGGAGCCAGGTACGTTGTGCTCCTGCCCTGTTTGCAAGGAAACAGCTTTCAGGTGATCCACATGTTTGTTCAGGACAACCTCACTACCTGAACTTTGTAAATGATGCAACCTGACCTTGCATCAACCTCAGCTCATACCCATACGGGGCCATTCCCATTGTTCCAGCGCCAGACTTCATCCCCTGAGTTAGATTGCCTGTCTCACTTAGAGGTGGCATCTAGCCAGCATTGGCGTTCCTGCTGCCGTTTCTCTTTCTCTGTCTGTCTGTCTCTCTCTCACACTCTCACTCTCTCTCTCACTCTCACCACACACACCCCCCAATCAGGTTTACTCTGGTGTGGAGTCTTCTCCCCATCAGCAACTCTGTGGAGCTCTCCCTATTGTTGCATGTGGGGTGGTCCTATAATGGAACAGGAACCAGGACAGCTTGGTATCAATTGACACTGTAGGCTGCTTCTTTCAACCTGCGTTCAGTGTTTGGACCCCTTTTTCTGCTAGACCATTGGACAACGGATGGTATGAAACTGTCCTTAAGTGCAGAATACCATTTGACTTTAGGAAATATTCAAATTTCTTGCTGGTAAATGACTTCACATTGTCGGTGACCAATATTTCAGGGAGTCCGTGTTTTGCAACCGATGCTAACAGCTTCTCAATCATTAGCCCTGAGTTTGCCGAATAAACTTTATGCACCTCCAACCACTTTGAATGGACATCCACAATGACCAGGAACACTGATCCCATGAAAGGATCAGCATAGTTGACATGCAGCCGAGTCCAGGGTTTACCCTGCCATTCCCATGAATGTGGAGGCACTGCTGGTGGTAATTTTTGTCCTTATTGGCCGTCATAGCTCTGTCCCACCAACGCAGCTATGTCGGCATCCAACCCAGCCACCAAACATAACTCCTTGCCACCATCTTCATCTTGGAAACACCTCGATGACCCTGGTGGAGTTTGGCCAGTACCTGGCGGCGACCTTTGCTCAGGACAATCACGCTTGGTCCCCATAGTAATATGCCACCCCCTACGTTGAATTGTTCATGCCAGGTCCAGAAAGGTCCCAACCTGGTTGCGATGGCCCTTTGGTTTCCTCCATTACCTACCACCAACTATTTTAGTTTCGCTAGGGCAGGATCTTTTTGTGTCCACAGTCAGATAATGTCGGTGACTGAAAGGGTCCTCCCTCTTCCCCTTGGGGCTCTGAGGTGGAAGGTGTTGCATGCAGCAGTCCCGTGCAACTACAGATTGCGGTGGTTCACGGACTCCCAGCCTAACTCACTCAGAGATAGTAGGAATTGCTGATGCTGGAGTCTGAGATAACAAGGTGTGGAGCTGGATGAATACAGCAGGCCAGGCAGCATCAGA